GAGAGTCGTTTTAAAAAGCAACGGTCCAACTCCATTCACAAGACTGGCACTTGGCCCTCCAGCTATAAATGTCTCTATAAATGATCTCTGCTAGTCCACAGAGTGCTGACATAATGCATACCTAGGGTGTATGTAATGGAGAACAAATGCAAACACTACTCAGTATGGCCTAAAGACAGGTTGTAACAGTGTGCCAGTGCGTTTCTCTTTGAAAGCTCTATTTGTACACAGTGCTTGACTTGGGATGAAAGAAGTGCAGGAGCTGTCTTTTTCCAAGTCGGTCCATTAGACTATGCTCACTGAAATTCATAAATTACATTATGCTATAGACACCTCTGATTATTCACTATTAAGGGTTTATACACATTTTCCATGACTTCTCCATGACTTTTAACCAGATTTTCATGACTATTATTATAGCCTACATGAAAAAGTAAGCATTATTGACACTGGAAGGCTACTGTGTCTGATCCCATGCAGACCCACCATTTCTTGCCGTCGTGCCCTTGACCAAGGCACTTAACCCCCCGCAAAGTAGAACTGTACTGTTAGTCACATGTTGTCAACATGTGGTCAACCCTCCATCTGGAGAGCTCCTGGGTGTGCAGGCTTGGCCAAGTCTGCTTATCAAGGTCCTGTTGAGCAGCTGATGTTTAGGCTACAATGTGGTTAGACCAGGGCTTGAACAAAAGCCTGCAAACCCATGCAGTAGCTATCCTGGAGGATGGTATAAAATATTGCAACATTACAACCAAATACTTGTCTTTATAAAATTATTCCCTCATTCAATGAATCAGGGATCAAATGGATAAGGTAGGCTACTTCAAAGGAAGGTATCTAACTAGACATGTTTATATACACTATACAGTGCATTCTGAAATTATTCAGACCCTTTGACTTTTTCCACAGTTTGTTACGATACAGACTTATTCTAAAATTGATTAAATTGTTTTTCCCCTTCATCAATCTACACACAATACCCCATAATGACAAAGCAAAAAACAGTTTATTGAATATTTTACAAATGTATAAAAAAAACAACTGAAATATCACATTTACATAAGTATTCAGACCCTTTACTCAGTACTTTGTTGAAGCTCCTTTGGCAGCTATTACAGCCTTGAGTCTTCTTGGGTATGACGCTACAAGCTTTGCACACCTGTATTTGGGGAGTTTCTCCCATTCTTCTCTGCAGATCCTCTCAAGCTCTGTCAGGTTGGATGGGGAGCGTCGCTGCACAGCTATTTTCAGGTCTCTCCAGAGATGTTCGATTGGGTTCAAGTCCGGGCTCTGGCTGGGCCACTCAAGGACATTCAGATACTTGTCCCGAAGCCACTCCTGCGTTGTCTTGGCTGTGTGCGTAGGGTCGTTGTCCTGTTGAAAGGTGAACCTTCGCTCCAGTCTGAGGTCCTGAGCTCTCTTGAGCAGGTTTTCATCAAGGATCGCTCTGTACTTTGCTCCGTTCATCTTTGACTCGATCCTGACTAACCTTCCTGACCAAGGCCCTTCTAAATAAGGTATTTCTGTTTTTTATTTTTTATAAATGTGCAAACATTTTTTTAAAAACAGTTATCGCTTTGTCATTATGGGGTATTGTGTGTAGATTGATTATGAAAAACATTTATTTAATTAATTTTAGAATAAGGCTGTAACATAACAAAATGTGACCGACCGGCTCGACTCAGTTTTATGTAGCAAAATTTGTAATGGTGGTTTTTACATTGGATAAAAGTAGCGACTCAGAGCTAGAAAAGGTTATATCATACACTACGGTTGAGGAACAATGGGAAAGTAGTTCTGCTTTGAAAGTTGATAAACTTGTAACCTCACTTTTGAGAATGTTTGAATGTTTTGGTACACCTACTGGAGACCTCTTCTTTGTCTACACCCATTCAGCATCGTTCACACCCTCTTAAGCCTTAGCGCCACCCATCTCTTTAAGGCTTCACGTGAGGCCATGTGCTAAACAGAGTGAGTATGGTAGTGTACTAAACAACCAAAGATTTCAAGACTAAAGGCTGGTTTATACTACGTCTATCGACAGTTGTCGCAGTGACATCATGAACATTCTATTGTCGTCCGACATAAAACTTGTCGTTATGAAAAAGTATAAACACAAACACTACAGCAGTACTCTATGTAATAATACTTTTTCTAGTGTGTCCTCACTTCTGCTACTCTAATCAGGAATTTGATTAATTGACAACTACACCTACTGTAGTTAACATAAAGGTTTACTTGTTCACTGCATCTGCAGTATGTGAGCCTTTTTCTTCAGTTTACTCTCTTCTATCAGGAAAGCAAATCTCTAGGCAATTTAGGATCTTAAGGATCTTTAGACACCTTTTCTATTCGAACAGACATAGTGCATACACACAGTGGGTGTTTCTCAAAATGCATACTACCATGCTCTGACCACGCAAATTGGAGCACACGAGAGTCGGAGAATGACGCCTCATGTCATTCATCAAACTCTTTGCATTCCGGCAGAAGTCATTCATTGTCAATGGAGCAGTCCGCAACGCTATGCTGGGGGTGCCACACTAGGCTGGGGTGCGTTCTGTGTACCGCATGCATTCAATATTTTCAACTCGTGTTTTGCTTTACCATGCGGTGGTACAAACGGAAGTACACACACAGACTCCAACTAGCTAGCGTTAAGAAAGTTGAAAAGCGAAGCACGTGCGTCAAAATGCGGGATAGACATCCATCAAAACAAAACGCATATGCATCTGGTGGACATCGGGCTTGAGTCCAAATCAAAGTATGCAAAACGAAGCACGGAGGGCAGTTCTCGAATGCGTACTCCGTTTGTACATTTTTTGAAGCATGCATTGATGCAAGCTTCAACGGAAAGTATGCACAGAAATATGACGCAAATTTGAAATCAATGGCAGCCACTATTTGAGCTGAAGCGAGAGAAAATAAACTCAGACTTCGGAATGAAATGTTTCCTGTTCACATCTCATGTGTTGCCTGACTACAATATTTTATCTTGATACGTTAATAAATACACACTGTGTTAATTTTGGCATGTTTACCTGCCTACAATACCCTCTGTAGTGTACGTAGATTGCAAGCCCATAGGGCTAACTGGCTACCTACTACTGTTAGCTAGCCACAAAAAATTGTTAGGCCAGCTACATTTTAGTCATTTAGCAGACGCTCTTATCCAGAGCGACTTACAGTTAGTGAATACATTATATATATATTTTTTTATACTGGCCCCCCATGGGAATCGAACCCACAACCCTGGCGTTGCAAACGCCATGCTCTATCAACTGAGCTACATCCCTGCCGACCATTCCCTCCCCTACCCTGGACGAATTGTGCGCCGCCCATGAGTCTCCCGGTCGCGGCCGGCTGCGACAGAGCCTGGATTCGAACCAGGATCTCTAGTGGCTTAGACCACTGCGCCACTCAGCTACCCATGAAGAATTGACATCTACCTAGCATAACATTAGCTTTTGGTCATTATTGTTTGTTAAACTAGCTGGCTAGCTAGATCATTATGATTCACATATAGCTAGCTGATAATTATGAAGTAAAACGTTTGCTTTGTGTATATCTTGTTTAGTTTCTATTGCCATTGTCCTGGCTGGAAGAAGGTTCAGTGAATGGGGAGGTGCAGCGTGAGGTTATACCGTAGGGAGAGTGCGAGTGCTTCTCAATGTTTTATCCGTTCTCCATACTCTCGTCCTCACAAGAACGTACTCAAGAGAACGTCCTCGGAGAATGCACTCGGAGCATGAGTGTGGAGCACGGTATATTGAGAAACACCCAGTGTCTCATTTGATCTATGACAGAGAAAACACTCTTGATTTTCCATTTCCTCTGGTGTTTCATCTAACTGGTTGTCTCGTGGCAGTATGGGTGAGTCATCTTGTCTGTGTTCCAAATGGCATCCTATTCCCTATTAAGGGCACTATTTTTGAACCAGGGCCAATAGGGCTCTAGTCAAAAGTAAGGCACTATATAGGGAATAGGGTGCCATTTGGGATGCAACCCTTGAGTCACAGATATAATCTCATGTCACTAGTGACTCATGTGTCCTCAGCTCAGTGACTTTCTCTAAAGACATTTCTCACTCCAGGGTTGGAGGTTCTGAGTTTCCATGGATACCTAGGTGTTTTCTGTAAATGTTATAGCCACAGGGATATCTTCAGTTCAGTTTGCGCCTCAATTAATGCACCTTGGTTGGAGAACAAAGGTGTTCCCTTTCCATAGCCACGTGGATTTGAAAGATATGTGTGTGATGAGTAGGACCACAAACCTTTAAAAGTAATAGAGACAGGAGAGTTCCACCTCAGAGAAGAGGACCATGGTTCAATATGAATTAATTCTAATGATTGTACGTGCAAGGACAGGATGTGAGAAACAAGATTGGTCAAATAAAGCTATTTACCTATAGCGACTCAATGCACCAGACCACATTGAGGTAAGCTGATATTCCACTCAACTGCTAAATCTAATTCAACATAAAGATTCGCTGAGTGTATTGTAGTCATTTCCCCCATATATCCAGGATATAGAGTGTACAATCAAACCAATTTAAAACTCTGTCTCCAAAATGCTTTTTGCTCACTCACTAGAATCCATTTCTTCTTCATTTATTTTTCTTATCATTAATTATTTTGTCTAAAGCTCTCTCTCTCTCTCTCTCTCTCTCTCTCTCTCTCTCTCTCTCTCTCTCTCTCTCTCACACACACACTCACACACACACACACCCTACTTCTTCCCATTGGCCATATGAAAATCCTAACATCATGATCCGCTCTAGAAATCAAACACTTTCAAGCATCTCTCTAATTTTTCCTCTGATTGGGCCTATCTATTGAAAGCTGTGTTTTTCCTCTGTGGGATTGAAGTGTGTGTGTCTGTGTGTGTGTGTGTGTGTGTATTTGTCTCCTATGTGATTTGATGTGATTGCAGTCCATGACTGAGACCCGTTGTGTGAGAAACTAGCCTGATTGCATGGTTCATTTGTTCTCCCTCTGCAGAGCCAAGCCGAGGCGCACTACAAAGGCACTAAACATGCCAAGAAGCTCAAAGCACAGGAGAACACCAAGAATAAGCCGCCCAAGAGTTCCCTTCCACCTCCTCCTCTTCCTCCTTCCCTGGACAGTGCAAAGACAATCACCACCACCACCTCCACCAGCTTGACCAGCACTGTCACGGCCAGCAACTCTGACCAACCAGGTATGTGGAAACTTTCCATTCCTCTCCATGCTCTAGTCTCTGGGCTCCTGAGTGGCGCAGCGGTCTAAGGTACTGCATCTCAGTGCTTGAGGCGTCACTACAAACCCCCTGGTTCGATTCCAGGCTGTATCACAACCGGCTGTGATTGGGAATCCCATAGGGCAGCGCACAATTCGTCCAGGTTTGGCCGGTGTAGGCCGTCATTGTAAATAAGAATTTGTTCTTAACTGACTTGCCTAGTTAAATAAAATTGTGTGTTATCTTGTGTCATTACATGCTTTGTGTGCATGTGCATATGTGCACTGTATTTGTCTTTGGAATAAGTGTTTGCCAAGTCTGGGAAATGCTTTAACCAATTAAATGACTAATTAACAGGTATTAGTGTGTGACAAGTGCCATGCATTTCAACCAGTTTTGCTCACTGGGATAAAGTAGTGAAACCACATCCATTTGAGTTTTTTTCATAGAATAATTCCAAGTTGCTCTGTGGTAGTAACCTATAGGGGACAGACGATAATATCTAATGACTAATGTATAGATTAATATAGTCAGAATAGACTACATGTATGGTAAGCATGTGTTACCAACCAAGGCAAAAAAGAAAGCTTAAAATCTAAAGCAATGTGTTGTAAAATGTAAATTTGCACTAATTTCTGTTGGATCTTGATATTGTTTTAAATCACACTGTCTGGCCTCACATCAGGGGAGTGCCAATTAGGAGGTATTTAGTTTTTTATTAGGATCCCCATTAGCTGTTGCCAAGGCAGCATCTACTCTTCCTGGGGTCCAAACTGCAGGTAAGAGGGTTTCAGAAAATGCATCCCAAATTTGTATTTTTTTTATTATTATTTTTTATTTCACCTTTATTTAACCAGGTAAGCCAGTTGAGAACAAGTTCTCATTTACAACTGCGACCTGGCCAAGATAAAGCAAAGCAGTGCGATAAAAACAACAACACAGAGTTACATATGGGGTAAAACAAAACATAAGGTCATAAAATACAACAGAAAATATATATACAGTGTGTGCAAATGTAGCAAGTTATGGAGGTAAGGCAATAAATAGGCTATAGTGCAAAATAATTACAATTAGTATTAACACTGGAATGCTAGATGTGCAAGAGATTATGTGCAAATAGAGATACTGGGGTGCAAAAGAGCAAAATAAATAACAATATAGAGATGAGGTAGTTGGGTGGGCTAATTTCAGATGGGCTGTGTACATGTGCAGTGATCGGTAAGGTGCTCTGACAACTGATGCTTAAAGTTAGTGAGGGAGATAAGAGTCTCCAGCTTCAGAGATTTTTGCAATTCGTTCCAGTCATTGGCAGCAGAGAACTGGAAGGAATGGCGGCCAAAGGAGGTGTTGGCTTTGGGAATGACCAGTGAGATATACCTGCTGGAGCGCAGACTACGGGTGGGTGCTGCTATGGTGACCAATGAGCTAAGATAAGGCGGGGATTTGCCTAGCAGTGATTTATAGATGGCCTGGAGCCAGTGGGTTTGACGACGAACATGTAGTGAGGACCAGCCAACAAGAGCGTACAGGTCACAGTGGTGGGTAGTGTATGGGGCTTTGGAGACAAAACGGATGGCACTGTGATAGACTACATCCAATTTGCTGAGTAGAGTGTTGGAGGCTATTTTGTAAATGACATCGCCGAAGTCAAGGATCGGTAGGATAGTCAGTTTTACGAGGGCATGTTTGGCAGCATGAGTGAAGGAGGCTTTGTTGCGAAATAGGAAGCCGATTCTAGATTTAACTTTGGATTGGAGATTCTTAATGTGAGTCTGGAAGGAGAATTTACAGTCTAACCAGACACCTAGGTATTTGTAGTTGTCCACATACTCACATAGGTCAGACCCGTCGAGAGTGGTGATTCTAGTCGGGTCCCAAATGGAACCCTATTCCCTATATAGTGCACTACTTTTGACCAGGGCCCATATGACCCAGTTCAAAAGTAGTGCACTATATAGGGGATAGGGTACCATTTGGAACACAACCAGAAACTCACTGCTCAGCCCTCTTCAGAGATTAGGTTGAAGTTCTGTAACGATCCAGAGCCAGCGATACTACTCGTTAGTATTCTGTGTCTTTGTCCCAAATGGCACCCTATTCCCTGTATAGTGCACTACTTATGACAAGAGCTCTATGTAGTGCACTATATAGGGAATAGGGTGCCATGTCACACTGTTAGTTGGAGTCACAGACTGTCTAGCTGGATGTTTGGGGTGCTTCTCTTCTCTCTGATGGTCGCTGCCATCGTGCCATATTAGTACAAGCCTCTGTTTCGACCAAGGCTATGTCCCAAATGGCACCACTTATGACCTGGGACCTATGGGCCTTAGTGTATCATTTGGGATGCAACCCCACTCTCTGTCGGGGGGATGCTGTTGTTTCTCCTGGCTGGGTTTCTGGCAAACAGAGAGGCTGAAGTCAGATTCAGTTTAAACAGAAAGAGTTGAAAAACGAAATCATTAAAATTGCTAGCTTCAGCTGTTTACATAAGAGGCTGTCTTTTATGTAATGTCTTGAAACGAACGAACACAGCATGCTGGATTATCAGTGTAATTGTGAGCTCTGCGAATCGGCTCTTCAGAGTAGTTCTGTATTAAAGGTTTGAGTCTGAATGGCTAAAATTGTGAAATTCTGGGAATGGTCAAACAGGGATGTTCCTTTAATGTTTTTGAGTCTAGATTCAGTTAAAAGTAAACACATTGATTCAAAGCACCAGTATTTGTCAATATCTCTTCAATGTGTATCCTTCCATCTCTTATCTGTGAATGAATGGAGGGGGGGGGGTACATTTTACATTAGTTAGTTTACATTGTATTTTTTTGTCCCACCCTTCAGCTACCCTCAACCCCTCCCATCTATCTCTGAAAACCATCCAGTTTTGATTTCTACTAGCCATATATTTTTCAACTGTGCTGTGATGTTTCACAAAAGTTCTGAACCTTTCTATTCTCATAGTTTCTACTGATTGTAAATTAAAGATTAACATTTTTACTAAGAGTATTATTGATCGATTGACTATGGCTTTTCAAGTCACCCAGCAGTGCTATTTGCAGAGTTAGTTTTCGGTAAATGTGATTTTTCAGCCATTCCTGAACCTGTGACCAGAAACAAGCTACATATGGGCAGTACCAAAACAAGTGATCTAATGATTCTCTCTTCCCAGCAAAATCTGCAGAGCTGGAATGGTTGTATCCCCCATATACATAACATTCTATTAATCGCAAGAATGTTGTATAACAATTTAAATTGAAAAACTACGTTTTGAATCAGGCGTTGTTTTGTGTATCAGTTCATAAACCATGTGCCATGGAATGGGCACATCGGAAATCTCTTCCCAACTATTTAGCAACCTGTATGGCAGATTTTTCAAATTTTTTGTCGTTAAATGGAACTGGTATACTTTCTTGTTTGTTATTTTTTACCAATTTTGGGGACAAGAGTTTGACAACTGGGCTCTGTAACATTGACAGAGGGCCACATGGACGCACACACACGTACGCACACAAACTGGTACGCAGGCATGTACACACAGAAAGAGAGAGAGATAAAGATACAGAAAACACCACTGGCCAGTAGCTCAGTCCTGCTCCTGCTACTCAGCTGCTGCTGTGTGAAAAAGAACTCTCCCTCCCCCAGGGATCAAACTCTTACACAACACACCAAAATAAAGATGTTAAGGAATGTGTCACCAAAAGTTGCAATATTGTTAACGCTCCCGGACTAACTGTCAGATGTTGTGTCTCTCTCTCTTTCCCTCTCCCTCCCTCCTTCCCTCCCTCCCGCCCTCTCTCTTTCTTGATCTCAGAACAAATCGCAGTGCCTCCTAGCACGGCAGATAAAACCTTGGCTTCTCCAAATGCTTTCGTCCCCATCATCTCCAACTCCTCCTCCCTGGCAGCTTTAACAGCCATGGCCGTCCTCAGTCCCTGTAATCCCGTCCTGTGTGATCCCACGCCTGCCAGCCCCCCATCAGCTACACAAGTACAACTACAGGGGCCTGTTATGAAGAGCAGTGGCAGCAGCAGCACCAAGCCTGGGCTCACGGGCCTCAACCACTGCTACAGCAACTCAGCCCACGCCAGAGTCGGAGGACGAAAAAGCCAAAAAGCTCCTGTACTGTTCGCTTTGCAAAGTGGCCGTCAACTCTCTGTCGCAGCTGGAGGCCCACAACACAGGTGTGATCCAGCATCTGTTTCTGTTTGCTCTGTTGTGTGTGCCACCCTCCTCCGCAAGGCTTTCAGCTTGTTCTTGTTCAGTTTTCCCTTAACTTCTGTTAACACCCATCTCACAACAATGTCCACAAATACCTTCACACTGCAATCCCCTTTGTTTTTCATGGGAAATATGTCATATTTTGGTTGTTATCTGGACTTTTCTTTGGGTTGTTAAAGGTACAACAAAACGTTTCCAAAACATCCTTCCAGTATACAACATGACAACAACGTCACAAAAGATTTCATATTGACCATATTGAAATCCGATTTGCCCCCTAGCCATCATAATTGTGTTAAAAGCAGAAGGGCTCAATATGTCAGATGTTTGTTAGCTAACATTGGCACGTACGGCTGTTATGTAGTTATAGTGAGGTCAGTGAGACCTATGAGAATTTTGGATGGGAAAACAAAATCTGTTCTACTTTTAATCCAAACAAATGAAATGGTGTTCTTTGTATGTTTTATTTATGGTATTTTCCGTGTGCAATATACTTCATTATGTTTTTCCCTTTCTTCTGTTCCCTGAAGGTTCTAAACACAAAACTATGCTTGAGGCGAGGAACGGCGCAGGCCCAATTAAGGCCTATCCCAGACCGGGCTCCAAGCTCAAAGTCCAGGCCACCACCGTGCTGAAAGGCTCCGGACTGCAGAACAAGACGTTCCATTGTGAGATCTGTGACGTCCATGTCAACTCAGAAATACAGCTCAAACAGGTACACCATAGTGTCTCGTGACAGGCCTTTCCAGCCCTTTGGGTTTTTACCTCTCTTTAATTTTCTTGTGCACAAATGAATAAATACATCTTAGCTGATCAGCAGCCAGCGCGCATGCAAGATTTGTGAGATTTATTGGTGCCGAGATTAGGTCAATCACAATACAGTATGGTCAGAGGGGGAATTGGGGAAAACACATTCTGGGAACTCACTTATTTAAAATCCTAGAATTCACCTTTAAAACATTTTTTTTAAAAGTGAAATTGATTTCACTTTGGGAACTGAAGTATGCCGTGCTTGTCTTGTTACAGCTTGAAGGGACCTTACAGGCTTTTTATAATTGGCTCACCAAAAGGTGTGTCCCAAATGGCACCCTATACCCTTTATAGTGCACTACTTTTGACCAGGTTCCCATAGGGATTCACACACAGTAACGTCACTGATCTTTTTTGTTGTATTTTGTCAGCACATCTCCAGCAGAAGGCACAAGGACAGAGTGGCTGGGAAACCGATGAAGCCCAAATACAGCCCTTACAACAAACAGCAACGCAGCTCCACAGTCCTGGCCGTATGTATCATATATGTTCCTAATCAAAGCCCCTCAAGAAAAGTTGATTCGACTTCAGGGATTAATCGTTAATACATTTATTGGCAGTTTCGTTAAAACAGCATTTAGGAATATTGATGCATGAGTGGGCTTAAAGACAGGCCTTTATGCTCATGGAAAATAATGGCTTGTTGTTTGTGTAGCTAATCAATACGAATGATTTCTTTATGAATAGATTTGATTTCTCATTTAACTCCTCTCCTCTCCTCTCCTCTCCTCTCCTCTCCTCTCCTCTCCTCTCCTCTCCTCTCCTCTCCTCTCCTCTCCTCTCCTCTCCTCTCCTCTCCTCTTCTTCAGGCCAAGCTGGCTCTTCAGAAGGACCTGGTGAAGCCTATCTCCCCTGCCGCATTCCTCTCCAACCCCTTCTGCCCCACCACTGTCCCCTCCATCGCCCTGCACCCGCGGCCCAACACTTCCATCTTTCAGACTGCTGGCCTCCCAGGCTCCATGAGCTCCATGGGCTCCTTCCTCCGGGCTGCTCCAGGGCCCATCCGGCCCACCACCGGCTCTATACTTTTCGCCCCGTATTAATTCCTGGGTCGTGACACCAGGGTCGTGTTCAGTAGGCAGAGAATGGAAGAAAATGGCAGAAACTGAGTGAAACGGGGAGATACTATCTGAGCTCGTCCACTAATTAATGCTTGTTTTTATCTCCCGTTTTCGCTACGGTGTGCCCTAATGGACACAACCCTGTATATCGGTATGGAGCCAGGGAGCCAGAAGTAACACAAAGGGGATACTGACATGAGTTGACAAACAGGTGACCTCTGACCACGTGGAACAGTGAGTGGATGACGTCCTACTACAGACAGTACCTCCCCGGTGCACTGAACTGAGAGGACTACTACACTGCGAAGCTTGAACGAACAACAGTGTATTTATTTGATTGAACTTGTTTAACTTTGCCTGTCTGCGTGCGTTGCCCTGAAGCATGAAGTACAGAGGTACAGTGGGCTCGCTAAGACCACTGAGGGTCTAAGTATTGGATTCTTGTGTAATAATAAAGAGCATCAAACTGCTTCCTGAATGACTTGAATTACCATAGTCTTCCTATTTGATTAAATTAATGGACAGCTACATGTGTATGACAGTGTTCATCATAACAGCCCCCAGACAGAAGGACAGTCATACCTGATTCACACTATATGGCCAACCTGAACCGCACTGGGCTGGCTTGCATATTTTTTTCTCACATTGTCCTTTCCAGCACGGTTTAAGCAACTACAGGGGATGTGGAATCAGATCAGAGCAGTTCAGCTTGGCTCCGCTTTGTCTGGCCCAGTAGTGTGAAAAGGGTATCATTGCACATTTTCAGTTGTTGCTTGATGTCATGAGTCATGGACTGTATGTTAACACTGTAATGCAGTTTTGACCTCTGTTCTGTCCTGGATTGTGTAAGGCAAAAAGCTGAATCTCTGTTATGATCATCAAATAGTCTGGCTTCAATTTACAGTAGATAGCCATAGTATTGTTTAGTAACAGTGTTCTAATTTCCTCCACTTCAGAGAGAGAAACCATTCTCTTGGTTTCTCAGTAAGAGACAGATTTTAACTTGAGATAGATGTATGTCAATGGGAGACTTCAAGTCTGTTCAAGAACATTTTAGTTAAAGCTCAAACACACTGGTAGGATTGTCAAACGTTTGCCTGCCGACAGTACGTAGCACCTCTGAACAGTGTCGGCAGTCAATATATTTTGTGTTCACACAGCAAAGACCTTGAAGTCGTCAGCCACTCAGCCTTGTTAAAGTACTCCAAACCAGAAGATGGCAGTAGCGTTGTTTGGCAATGCATGTCCATGTGTGTTGCTTATGGTCTAGATTCCAATGTTAGCTGCTGCGCTAATGTTGCTATTTTGTAGAAAGCCCTTGTTGATATTAGCCAGATGGCCACAGCTAGATAACTACCTAGCAAGATGACGAAGAAACCATAATCCCATACTGTAGGGAGTCCAATCAAAACGCATCTTTTGACCAATGGGTAAAATAATATGTTAATTGTTTATATAATCCTCAAAACAAAAACAAACAATGGTCCAAACCTCATGTCTCTATCATAATCCATACAAAACTTGTAGGATGGTTCAAATTAGGCCGACTAAATCAATGGAGGCCAGAGAAAAAAGGGGTCAAAAATCAGGAAAATAGCATTGCGTCAGCTAGGCTGGATGCTGTGCAAGAATTAAGGCTACCTGACAGGCTCACCGTGGAACTCGTCATCTTTCTTCTCCAATCCGGAGGACATAAAACAATACAGAGGTAAGATGGATATCGATTTTGAGACATGACAAGTAGTATTTTCATATTTTAGTATACACTGTTCCTCTGTAGCTCACTTGGTAGAGCATGGCGCTTGTAACGCCAGGGTAGTGGGTTCGATCCCCGGGACCACCCATACCTAAAAATGTATGCACGCATGACTGTAAATCGCTTTGGATAAAAGCGTCTGCTAAATGCTTATTAATATTATTATATAAATGCAAAGTTCATATAATTTTTCGGAAGACTTCTCACAAAAACAAGCGTATCTCTGTGACATGTCAACGGAGCACTAAGTATACCGCAAGCTTTTTATTTTCAAAGCCTTTTACATTTAATTCAGCTCGTGTCATGCTAAATTTGCCATTTGCGACCCGCGGAAACAACTTGGAAGATGACCACAAAATGTAAAATTCTCAAACGTTTCGGCAAGAAAGCTGCACCGCTCTGACAACAGAGCTCGGTGCTTATTATCGGATGTATTAGGTTACGAAATCTGACTTTTTGGATACAATGTTAATGATTCAGTATGTTAGAGAAAGACCCCACTGAACGAGTCAGAACATGAAGAATCCTATTTGTCTTGGTAAGATGTATTTTATAACATAAGGAAGTGAAATGTCATCACGAAGCGCAATTTGCCCAGAGTGGGTGGACACCCTACATACTGCCAGTGCCAGCCCATAGCCAAAAGTTTAGCTCGATAGCTAACGTTAGCATAGCTAGCATAACATAGCTCACTAGCTAAGGACACTGCACTAACTCGGCAGCTAACACAGGCAGCTGTTTCATGTAAACTAGCTAATCCATTGTGATTTAATTATAATGTCAATACCAGATACAGTGGTTCGCTTGGAGGAATTATTTAGTGTTGTATGCATTGTGTCTGTGCACTTAGCTAGCTACCATCCCATAGCCTACATTGTATATGAAGTGTGACCAGCTCGTGTGGATATACAGAGAAAATGCCCTATTTTTTCCTTCTTGTTGTCACAACATGGGGGTTCGTGCTCTCTGATTGGCTCAAAGTCAAGTTGTTGTCACTGATGAGCATTGCGATTCTACATGTAGAAATGGTAGGTTCGTCACTACTGGATCGGCACACAGCAGGTACCTCTTTTGTTCTAGCAAGACAAGGAACGGCCTCCCACTGTCATAAGTACCTATCGGCAGTCTATCAGCAGTGAGATTCTCAGTGTTTTTCATGCTTTAAGTGTGCAGATCTCAAGTCAGGACTCGACCCTTACAGTACATTGTTTCTGCAGTATATTATGTAATCATCAGTCATTCATTTCTTAGAGAAATAGTCGAATCTATTAGTTTTCATCACTTGTATCCAGGGTTGAGGTCAATTCCACTTCAAATCAGTGAATTCAGGAAGTACAGATGTTTGACCAGTTTCTCGAAATAATCCTGCAGCAACCGGACGTGAATTATTCTGTGGATTATAATTAATGGACATTTTAGCAGGAGTTTTTGTTAAGACAAATAAAGTCTGACATTTTAAGTGGAAATTACTAACTTTTTAAGGCTTTTTAAACCCCAAAGTTTAAAAGATTCCCTGCAACAATAGGTTGATCAAATTAAGATCCTACATCTGTAAACTTCAGTTTATTTCTGTTTTCTTCATGAATTGACTGAAATGAAATGGAATTGACCCGAACCCTGTCTGTATCACCCTTTCCAAGTTGCAATACTAGTTGTGCAGTATGTTACAGAGGGGGACAGAGAGACAGACAGAGGTATTTGTATTTTTTAAGTTGAAAAAAAAGCAATCCACTCCATGACAGAATATACAAGATACACTGAAATTGAAATGTATCTTTTCAAATACATTTATATTTGGATGATTTGCACCCATATCACAATTTTATTTTCCACAACTGAAAAATAATTGTAATTATTTAATTAATTAATTAACTGAATATAGTTTATAAAGGAGACCTGATGTAGAGATTGTCAATAAAAGGGATGTTCATTGAAAGATATATAAGTTAATCATATTATCATCTACTCTGTGTGACATGTACAGTATTTATTTTCAGATTGTTTATTGATGCGATTGATGCATACATTCAGTTTTATTTGAGATATGTAATTGTTTTATCATTTGTTTGTTTGTTAAACATTTTATTTGTTTTTATTAAATACCTAAACGTATCACTCGTATTGAGTTATTCCTTGATATTATAAGAAGACTGATTACTTAATTAGTCAATGTTTAAAGTATTATAAAGCACATTTCTTAATTAACACATTTTAGGTTCTAATATCTCCTGCTAAATTAATATGTTAAGATAGAGTTAGATATCATATGTCGATTATACATTTTTAAAATGATTTCATATGCAACTGAAGATATTACTCTTAATTTACATTAAACACTTTTTAGGTTCTTCTCCTGCAAAATTCAGTTATTAAGATTTGTGCAGAGTAATCCATTATGTCCTATTGATTAAAAAAATATCATTACATTATATACATATTCAAGTTAATATTCAGCATATGAATATTATCTAATATGAGGCATATGAGGTTATCTAATCTGGAAACATTGTGTACTATGCCAGCAGCAGCATATGTCCAGCTACAGTACATTTGCCTAGTTTAGATGTTGCTTGACTCTGGCAATAAACAACACTATCTAACATATGTTCATCCGTGTTACGACATCACTCATCAATATACAGTACCAGTCAAAAGTTTGGACACACCTACTCATTCCAGGGTTTTTCTTTATTTTTACTATTTTCTACATTGTAGAATAATAGTGAAGACATCAAAACTATGAAATAACACATATGGAATCATGTAGTAACCAAAAAAGTGTTAAACAAATCCAAATATATTTTATATTGGAGATTCTTCAAAGTAGCCACCCTTTGCCTTGATGACAACTTTGCACACTCTTGGTCTTCTCTCAACCAGCTTCACCTGGAATGCTTTTCCAACAGTCTTGAAGGAGTTCCCACATACGCTGAGCACTTGTTGTCTGCTTTTCCTTCACTCTGCGGTCCAACTCATCCCAAACCATCTCAATTGGGTTGAGGTCGGGTGATTGTGGAGGCCAGGTCATCTGATGCAGCACTCCATCACTCTCCTTATTGGTCAAATAGCCCTTACATAGCCTGGAGATGTGTTGGGTCATTGTCCTGTTGAAAAACAAATGATAGTCCCACTAAGCGCAAACCAGATGGGATGGCGTATCGCTGCAGAACGCTGTGGTAGCCATGCTGGTTAAGTGTGCCTTGAATTCTAAATAAATCACAGACAGTGTCACCAGCAAAGCACCATCACACCTCCTCCTCTATGCTTCACGGTGGGAACCACACATGCGTAGATCATCCGTTCACCTACTCTGCGTCTCACAAAGACACAGCGGTTGGAACCAAAACTCTCAAATTTGGACTCAACAGACCAAAGGACAGATTTCCACCGGTCTAATGTCCATTGTTTCTTGGCCCAAGCAAGACTCTTCTTCTTATTGGTGTCCTTTAGTAGTGGTTTCTTTGCAGCAATTCGACCATGAAGGCCTGATTCACGCAGTCTCCTCTGAACAGTTGATGTTGAGATGTGTCTGTTACTTGAACTCTGTGAAGCATTTATTTGGGCTGCAATTTCTGAGACTGGTAACTCTAATGAACTTATCCTCTGCAGCAGAGGTAACTCTGGGTCTTCCTTTCCTGTGGGTCTTCCTTTCCTGTGGTGGTCCTCATGAGAGCCAGTTTCATCATAGCGCTTGATGGTTTTTGCGACTGCACTTGAAGAAACTTTCATAGTTCTTGACATTTTCCGGATTGACTGACCTTCATGTCTTAAAGTAATGATGGACTGTAATTTCTCTTTGCTTATTTGAGCTGTTCTTGCCATAATATGTACTTGGTCTTTTACCAATATCTCCTGTATACCAACCCTACCTTGTCACAACACAACTGACTGGCTCAAACGCATTAAGA